CTAAAATGTCACAGGGCATACTTGTAAATTAAAAGTGTTTCTTCCCTTTGTTTCCTCCATCAAAATGTTGTTTCCCTACTGCTGGTTGCTGGTTGCTCTGCAGCGCATTAACATCCATAATGTGTTATTAAAAGTAGGATGTCATGTGTCCAACCAAGTTATGAAAACCATTCCTTAACCCTTTCTTAATGTTAAAAATCATCTAGAATGCGGCAGCTAGACTGGTGATTGGGAGTGGCCGCCGAGACCATACAACACCAGTCTTGAAAGACCTACATTGGCTCCCAGTACATTTCTGAGAACAATTCAAAGTGTTGGTGCTGACCTTTAAAGACCTATATGGCCTCAGCCCAGCATATCTGAAGGAACGTCTTCACCTCCATTGTTCAGCCCAGACACTGAAGTCCAGCTCCATGGGTCTTCTGTTGGTTCCCTCACTGTGAGAAGCAAAGTTACAGGAAACCAGGCAGAGGGCCTTCTCAGTAGTGGTGCCCTCCTTGTGGAACGCCCTCCCATCAGATGTCAAGGAAATAAATATATGATTTCTACTCCAACGGGGAGTTTGTCTTCAATAATGTGTAGAATCATGACAATGAAAATAATAGAGTTGGGGCGATAACACAACCCTCTTTGACACCTGATCCCACTGTGAATGGTTCACTTTGAGAGCCATTGTTATCTGTGATTGTTGCTGTCATATTATCATGGAGGAGCTGCAGGATGTTCACAAATTTATCTGGGCAGTCAATTTTCGGAAGGACAGTCCACAGGGCATTACCATTTACAGTTTCAAAGGCCTTAGTCAGGTCAATAAATGAGATATACAGGGGTTGGTTTTGCTCCCTGCATTTTTCTTGAAGCTTTTGGGAGGTGAAAATCATGTCCACTGTCCTAGAAGGTCTCAAACAATTTTGGGATTCAGGAAGATTAGCCTCAGATATTGTTAGGAGATGGTTTGCTAAGATCCTTGCAATAATTTTGCAGGTAGTAGCTAATAAAGAGATGCCACAATAGTTTCTGTAATCTGTTTTATCACCTTTAAAAATAAATTGATAATTCTGGCATCCCTAAAGCCTCCTGGGATCTCCTCTCTCTCCCAGATTTTTTCAATGAACTTGTGAAGTTGTTGTGTAAGTTCAATTCTGCCCACTTTTAAGACTTCAGCAGGTATCCCATCAGGTCCGCTGGCTTTGTTGTTTTTCATTTGGTTAATAGCTATACACAACTCTCCCAGACTTGGAGATACTGCAAGCTCATCTCTAACTTGGTTTTGCAGAATTTGTGAGAGAACCTCAGCAGCCAGGGGGGAGTTGCAGTTAAGGAGATGCTGTTAATGTTCTTTCCAGCGCAGCGCAATAGCTTCTTTATCTTTTAGAAGTGTGGTACTGTCTGTTGTGGGACACGGGTTGTGATGTGGGTTAAACCACGGAGCCTAGGACTTGCTGATCAGAAGGTCAGTGGTTCGAATCCCCACAATGGGGTGAGCTCCCATTGCTTGGTCCCTGCTCCTGCCAACCTAGCAGTTCAAAAGCACGTCAAAGTGCAAGTAGATTAATAGGCACCGCTCCAGCGGGAAGGTAAACAGCGTTTCCGTGTGCTGCTCTGGTTCGCCAGAAGCGGTTTAGTTATGCTGGCCACATGACCCGGAAGCTGTACGCTGGCTCTCTCGGCCAACAAAGCGAGATGAGTGCCGCAACCCCAGAGTCGGTCACAACTGGACCTAATGGTCAGGGGTCCCTTTACCTTTACCGTCTGTTGAGCATAGGGGGCATATGCCATGATTTATTGGCCATAGATGGTCTTTGAGGTTTTCATTTCTTCAAGTATTAAAACATTATTGCTCTGTATTCAATTAGAATTTCAGGGTAGCCATGAGAAAACTATGAGATCATCCTTAAGGAAATGTCGTCCTCAGAAGAAAGACATTGTTGGCTACCTCTGAAGTAGCACCTTCTGGCTTTCTTGTTTACCATGGCTCACCAGAAGTAGCATGTTTCAGTGGAAACACCCAGATGTGGCAAGCTTGTAGCCATCAGTCCTGGTTTTTGGGTGGTTTAAAGACAGCAACACAGTGATCATTTTGATAATGATTCTCCTGATCCCAATTGAGCAAATTCCAGGAAATGTGAGATTACATCTCATATAAGAATGTGGCTTTGGCGTGCTATGAGGAAAAGAACCTGTAGGGTGTAACTTGGATGCTCTATTGCTCTGAGGTTTGCAAGAAACTCATAAACAGAACAGGCAATTACTTACTGTAATTTGAAGTTCTTGCCACATGGAAAACACTCAGCTGGGAGGCAGAGCCCTGTGAAGTAACTCATCCTGAAGATGCATCATGCAACATCAATGCCAGTATCTGAAGTCTTTTCTCACAGCCCTTCTTCTTCTTTTAACTAAACTTCAGTGTTCCTAGGTTCGTAGTACTGATGTCTAGAAAAGGAAAACTAGAAAACTAACTTCTACAATTATAGTGCTTTAGAGAGACTCTCAAGAGTATCCAGTCGTCCACCACCTCGTTCAATGCAGGGATCTCGCAAGTACAGCATCCCTAACCAAAGGCTGCCCAGAGGCTGATTGCTCCACCATCAAACATATCTCAACAATTAGGCAGTTTCTCCTAGCATTTACCACAAACACATACACTTGCAAATTTATCTGGCTTTTATTAAACTGTTTGGAATCACAGTCATTCAGTGATCTACTAACAATCACCCAAAGTATAGCCTGCAGTTCCTGGCCTACCTTTTCACCGCTGTTTCCCTTAAATGGCCTGGTACAAACTTCCAGTTCCCCTGAAGGTACATATCTCCCCTGGTGCTAGGGCAGAATCAGTTCTGGGTTGTGTTTGCTTGTCTTCTGGAGGAAAACATGGACCATAAACCCTCCAGGAGCACCTCCCAGAGCATCACCTCTGCATGTTCTATTATCTAATACAGGTGTGAGGAACCCTTGGGCCTTCAAATATAGCTGAACTGCAAGTCCTGTATTCCTGGCCATTTGGCGATGCTTTCTGGTGCTGATGGAAGCTATTACACCTGGAGAGCAGAGGTTGCCCAACTTGATCTAATATCTAGGCCCTAAATTTTAGGGTTCTCAGAAGCTAAGTTCCATTGACCTAAGCTAGTTATGTCCATCCATTTCACTGGGTCTACTCTGAGGAAGAGCAGCATGGGATACAACCCTTATAGATCACAGTTTCCATAAAAATACACCATACAAAATGACAATAAGCTCAATAAAGCATCGTGTAACATGAGCTGAGAAAGAGAAATCAATACAAAGAAGAAATCCTTTATGAATCACTAGCTAGAAACATCCCAAAGGAATTTACTAAAAACATTTTCAAATTTATTATAGAATCAGATCAGAGCTTTTTTTTAATCCATAAAAAGGTTGTTGGGAAAGGAAAGCCTTCAGCAGGCACCTGTGTGTGTGTGTGTGTGTGTGTGTGTGTGTGTGTGTGTTGCCGTCCATAGACCCACAAAACAGTTTCAAAACAAGATACAGTTAAGACAACCAAACAACAGGCGAAAGAGACCGAGGTAGTCATTTTGTTATGTCTAGAGCGTGATGGTCTTTGTTTCTTGTGACCTCTGTAAGAAACTTCGCCACAGTCCGTGTAATACCATTTGACCTATCCTCCAGAAGGTATTTAATATGGAAGGCTTCAGATTTGCTAGTAAGGCATTGATCATTTTATCCCTTGCTTGCTCATACTGCCCACAATGCAGTAGGATATGGTTCATGCAATCGACGTCCTGAGAACATAAACAAAGCCTATTCTGATAGGGGATGCCTCTCAGTCTATCATTTAGAACTTCCGAAGGAAATACATTTAATCTAGCTTTGGTAAATAAACGCCAATAGGTGGGTACGGACAAATTCCTAAGATATGAGGCTAACTGAAAGTTGTGCCCATATTGGATTCCAGCTGCAATCGGGTGACAGATTACATTGGATCTGGATTGCAGGTTGCTGTGTGAGATGTCCCAAAGCCTTTGCCTCAGGGATAGAAGAGTGGTATTGTAGCCCAGTTGATACAAAAGGGATGGTGACAGCCATGGACTGATAAACTCCTCATTGGTTAGATGTACAAGTAATCCCTTCCCCAAGCCAAATACTGAGATCTTAAGCCAGTATTTCAAGGCAGCCCAACAAGCTTTGGTGGAAAGTGGGCATTCACCTGTTTCCAGAAATAAGATAGGATTTGGGACACAATTTGGGACCTGCAGTAAGGACCGGGAAAAAACTTTCCCTGGAACCCATCTAACTTAGGAAATAAGCTGTTGTACCAGACGTTTGAAGTGTAGAGAAGTTGGGAGACAGATTTTGCATTAACAGGCACCAATAAGACAACAAGAGACATCACTTGTCTTGATATGTGATGTGTCCAAGGGCCTGATCCCAACATTGCATGAAACAGACCTCCTGATGAGTTGGTATCTACAAGATACCATCCCTGGCAAAGTACAGTGACCAGTTACATCTATAAGGGGGTGAGACAATATTTAATTAGGAGCAATGGAATATAGGAAGCTGTATTATTGTAGCCTTATTTGACACTTTTTCCAGATTCCCAAATTCTTAGGGGACTTTTATGGTGGGTTAACTTAGTGGGCACCTTACCAGTTTGAGGGCACCAGCAGTGACTCCATCCTGATTGCAAGTAACATTAGCTATGTCCCATAACAACTTGTTGATTGTGATGTACCAGTTAGGAGAGCAAATTTGTGAAGAGGAAATGCTGATTTGGCACACTGTCCGTGCAGCAATCGGTATGTTGAAAGATTTGTAATGTTTTGATACTGAGTTTGGGAGAACCCTATGACAACAGTGAGGTGAGTATTCAGTGAGGTGAGTATTCTGATTATCAAGGAAAGGGTGTCAACTCTTTACAGGAATCTGGGGAGTTCCCTATGACAAATTATCAACTTGTCATCATACACCCCTTAAAAAGGGGGAGTCTTAAGTATGCTCCAGGCTACCAGAGATACAGTATAAAAACCCCATCCTCTAGGCTGCTTCCAAACACTTCTCTGCATTCCTGCTTCTTAGAGAACTAGGTAAGTCCACTTGGGTTCTGAGAAAGCGGGCACATTTTCTGAATGTACAAATTTTCTAGGATGCACATTTTCTAGGTTAACAAAGGTTATGCAGGTGAATGTCAGTTGTTGCTAATTTTCAAGGGTAGATTGCACTGCTATGTGAGGTTTTCAAGCAAGTGCACTTGAATTGTGTGTGTGTCTGCATTATGCTGGGCTGGAGCACTTTGGTGGGGAAAACTTCTCTGGGGTTTACAGTAAAGGTGAGGAACCTATGGACTCCAGCACTCCAACATCACCAACAGGTACAATAGTCAAGGATGATGGGAGCAGCAATCCAGAAACTTCTGGAGGACTAAAGACTCCTAACCACTGATTTATATTCTTAGATGAGATAATTGATTGAAGTTTATCATTGGGATAGATGGTCCAAATGAACGATAACTTCCTTTTTGCTGGAACTCACAAGCTTTGCAGTAACAGGAGCAGTAGTGGTAGCAGTTGTTGCCTTCTACATAGCTCTACCATGAAGCTGTGAGTCCCACCAAGAGGAAACTACCAGGCCCTTGGACTATCTATCCAAAAATGTGTCAGGTTTCCTGGTGTCAGCCTGAAGTATTTCCTATTCTTTCTATGATAGGTCCTTTAAACTGATACCACCACTATTTAGACCTGGGACCTTCTGCGCTTTCTCATTTGGTTACAGGAATTGCTTATATAGAGCCAGAAGACTGGCTCATTTAAATTGTAGAGTTGGAGGAAGCCATGTAGATTTTCAAGACCAACTTTCTGCTCAATGAGGAAAATCCAAATCTTGATAATCCAGAATATATTACTGCCCAGTATATGCTTGAAGACCTCTAGAGTGGAAGAACCCTTCCACTACCCTTCTGCTTGTACCAGTAATGGAACCTAGAGTTTTTCCCTCATTAAAGTTAGAGGGTTTTATTCAATGAAGTCCAGCTCATTATATATCCATCAAAATTAATGAATCTAACTTGGCCATGTTTGTTACCTTCAATGGGCCTACTCTGAGTAAGCCTAGCATTGTATTCCCCCCTCTCCCATAAGGTGGACAGCTATCTCTTGGGAAAGCTCTTCCTTTATCCCAGTGTTCTCCAAGGTCTCAGGTTGATGACTTTTCAAAATCAGCTGATATCCATTTTAACTAGAGGTGGTTATGGTATTCTAACCCACAGGAGGCAATGATGGCCACCCATCTGGATGGCTTTAAAATTCATGGCAGATAAGGCTGTCAGTGACTTCAAGCCACAATGGCCATGTTCTGTTTCAAATGTCAGGGGCAGTAATGCTTCTGAATATCCGTTGCTGGGAACCACAGAAGGCAAGAGTGGTTTGTGCTCAGTTGCTGATTGAGGGCTTCCCATGGGGGCATCTGGGTGGCCTTTGTGAGAACAGGATGATGGACCAGATGGGACATTATCATGATACAGCAGACTCTTCTTATGTTCTTTTGTTCTTTTGTTCTCATGTTCTTATTCTGATGGTCTCACCCAGCAAAACCAAGACTCCCTAAACTCTTCAGCTCCATGAATCACTACCCTACGGGGAAATACCACAGTATTTGAGACTTTAGCTTACAGAAAATGAGGTAGTATACAACCATTGTAGGCTTTGATAGCTTTATCCACAGTTGATTTGGGGGAAAGGCTATAGCTCAGTGGGAGAACATCCGCCATTCTAGCAGAAGGTCTCTGTTTCAGTCCCTGGCATCTCTGGGTAGGAGAGACCCCTGTCTGAACTCCTGGAGAGCCACTGGCAGTCAATGAGCACAAAGCCAAGCTGAACGGAACATTGGTCTGATTTGGTATAGGACAGTTTTGTATGTGCCTGGATATAAACCGCCTGTAAAGCCTGTAAAGTTGGTGATCAATCCCTAACAATATGCTGTGTGACAGAGAACTTCCTTTTTCTCTGTGCTGAATCTTCTGCAATTCAGCTTCATTGAATGGCAGCAATTTTTTATTTATTTATTTTTTTACTATGGAAGGGGGAGAATAAAAAAAATCCCTCTATTGACTCCATGGATATATATATCCCATGGTATGGAACTAGATGGCCTTTTGGCGTCTTATTGAGCTCTTTACTATTGTTAATATCAAACTTGTGCTCTCCATTGGGAACTCTGCATGATGCTGACTCCATGTTCTTTCAGGTCCACCTCTGAACCTCAAAGATGTCTGCTGGCCGTGGTGGATGGAATAACCAATGCTATGCCCAGTGCCCCCCATCAACAGTGACCATCCGGCCACCACCTTTTGTCCTGACCATCCCAGGGCCAGCTCTCTGTTGCCCTGACCAGGCTTTTCGCATCGAGCAGTACAACCCATGTGCTTACGGATATGGCGGCGGCAGATCTTCTCTGTATGCCAGTGGTGGTTCCAACATGTCCTCGTTCTATACCCAGGCCCTGCCAAGCAACACATGTAACAGTGGTAACTGCTGGCTTTAAATCAAGACCAAAGTGAAAGATCCAAGGAAGAACGATGGAGAAAACAAGAAGAGCTAGATCAGCTTCCACAATTCCCACCTGAAATGTTGAACATCCACAACGCATGGATTTTTCCTTATGTCTATATCTGTTTTGCCTATTGCAGTTGTATTTAAAATCCTTGTATACTGCTCTTACTGTCTGCTGACAACTTGATCTTAGCAACAGGTTGAGAATTGTGTGCATCCAATACTTCGTTTCACATCGTATTTGCACTTCTGACTGGGTTATTCCTATTTGCTTTCATATTAAAATTTGAATTGCATCCAAAATCACTTATCTCCTCTCTTCCTTCTATGGTTGAACTGAAGTGTGGGCTTCCTTTGTTGCTCCTGTCCAGGCACTGTACCAACTTAGTTTCAACACAGCTACAGCCACATCTGGCTTCATGATACCTTGGGGCCCTCATTCTCTACGATAAGTGGATTTCATAGAGTCATCAAGCCAATCAGCTCATTTTTGAAGAAGCAAAAGCGCTCATCTCGCTTTATTGGCTGAGGGAGCCAGCATACAGCTTCTGGGTCATGTGGCCAGCATGGCTAAGCCGCTTCTGGCGAACCAGAGCAGCGCACGGAAACACCGTTTACCTTCTCGCCGGAGTGGTACCTATTTATCTACTTGCACTTTGATGTGCTGATGTGCTTTCGAACTGCTAGGTTGGCAGGAACAGGGACCAAACAACGGAAGCTCACCCTGTTGTGGGGATTTGAACCGCCGACCTTCCAATCGGCAAGCACTAGGCTCTGTGGTGTGTGTGTGTGTGTGTGTGTGTGTATATATATATATATATATATATATATATATATATATATATATAAAATCAAGTTGAACAACAGAATACATAATCCACTTTTAAAAATAGATTTTATGTTGTCCTTCAACAAGCGTTTCCCGTACGGTTCTATATATTTTATTTTATAGATTTAAATATTTACAAACCACAGTTTTCTATAACATATCACAAAGTGGTTTACAACCTGAAAACACAATATTACTAGCTCTGATTTGTTTGTTGTAACTCTATTGTCAGAGGCTGTTAACATCTGTATACCAGCTGTTGGTAACCACGGGTGGAGAGCATTGTGTTGTGCTCAGCTCCTGCTTATGGGGCACCTGGTTGGCCACTGTGGGAACATGATGTTGGTCCAGAGACTGTCCACTAACCTGATCCAGCGGGGCTCTTCTGATGTTTCTAAGTTCCTGCCACTTGAGCTTAAAAATTGTTGGTGAGGAACGTATCAGGAGGGAGGTAGTCTAAGAATCCTCCTCCCATCTAGCCATCCTTTCATTTTCAGCTCATAAAAGAACAGGGCTGTAACATCAACACTCCATCTCCCTTGAGGAGAAACTCTGCCAGTACATCAGCTGCCATTAAACCCAAATCAGGTGATAACTATTGTCAAGAAAAGGGAGCAAATCATATTACACAAGCAAAGGTGCAGAGACACAAACACATGCCCAGCTTACTAGAGTCGCCCGACCTATCTGCATAAAAATAAAAATCCTTCCAGGATTCACAGAAATTTGACCCAGCCAACTCCTTATTACATCAACAGGCTCTTATCAAAGATACACAGCCCTGAATCTAGTCCTGAAATGCAGGGATTTTCTGGGCAATTGATTCACTGGCTTCTCTATCATTGCAACTGTGTGCAGAGGAGGGCAACCTAGATGATCAAGGGCTTGGAAGCCAGGCCATGTGAGGAATGGCTGAAGAAGCTGGGTATGTTTAGCCTGAAAAAGACAAGGCTGAGAGGAGATATGATAGCCACCTTCAAATATCTCAAGATGGAACATGTAGCTTGTTTTCTCCTGCTCTGAAGGGTAGGACTCAAACCAATGCCTCCATGTCACAAGAAAGGAGAGTCCATGTAAACATCCGACAGTAAAAGCCATTTGACAGTGGAATGGTTCCCCTCAGGAGGTTGTGGACTCTTCTTCCTTGGAGGTTTCAAAGTAGAGGTTGGCTGGCCATCTGTCATGGATGCTGTGGTGATCACACAGGGTCTCCGGATGTTTAACGGTCTATTGATCCCTGTGCCACCACTGTGCTCACTTCCCCGCTGCCACCAACCAGTTACTCTCTGGTAAAACACTGAGTCCAGTCAGCTGTTAAAAGTAAACAAAAAACCCCAAGTTTATTTTACAAACATTAACGAGTTTATGGTTTCTCAGATAATATTCCTGTCAGTATCTTAACTTTGGTTTCTTTACCGGCCTATACCTTCCTAATACCTTCTGACTGATTATCTCAACTGTTTGACTGACTCCTCTTAACAAATTATCTCCCTCTTTCACACCAGACTAGCCCAACCAGCAGACATATCTTCTCTGTCTCTCCTAACTGAGACTGTCTTCTCAACAACTCTAACTCACTAAAAACCTCTGTGCTTAAACTTATACACAGTTAACTCTGCCCCCTGTGTTCCCATTGGTTAGTCGTATTACAATTAGTTAACCCTTTCCCTATGAACCCAGTATGATGTCACACACATAGGAGGGCAAACGCCACAGATGCTTTAGTTGACTAGATGTCCCTTGGGGTCCCTTCCAACTCCACAATTCTATGATTAACTGGAAATCAGAAAGGGGGCTGGATCTGGAGACTCAAGATGGTACTACTACTTTGCAGTGGAGACTGGCTCATCAGGATGAATGAGGCAGAATTCCACAAACCTCTGTCTGCCTTCTTAAAACCAGTCCACAGAGTGGCAATGTCTGCCAGCTTCCTCCTCCTTAGTCTTAGGGTTTAGCAACACTAACCTTTCTTGCCCCACCCAGCACTCCTTTTGCAGGGGGGTGGGACTAGATGACTCTGAGTGTCCCTTCCAATTCCACAATTCTATGATTCAGTTCTGTGATTATTTACAGGCAGAGGGCCACACCTCAACTCTTTGTGTCTGAGCTTTCCCCCCCATCTCAGTGTTGGATTTATGTATAAGCTAAACAAGCTATAGCTTAGGCAGGCTTCCTCAACCTCAGCCCTCCAGATGTTTTGAGACTACAGTTCCCATCATCCCTGACCACCAGTCCTGCTAGCTAGGGATCATGGGAGTTGTAGGCCAAAAACATCTGGAGGGCCGAGGTTGAGGAAGCTTGGCTTAGGGCCCCACTCTCTTGGGGGCCCCCCAAAAAATTAAAGGAAAAAAAAGTGTTTCTAAAGGAACCTTTGTTATTGCCAAATGCCAATGTGTTTGCATTATTAAGTTTGTTATGAATAAAAAAATCATTTAAAGTTTGTTGTTGTTTAGTCGTTTAGTCGTGTCCGACTCTTCGCGACCCCATGGACCAGAGCACGCCAGGCACTCCTGTCTTCCACTGCCTCCCGCAGTTTGGTCAGACTCATGTTTGAGCTTAATAATTATTTCACTAATAATATACTTCTTCTTAATTGTATTTCACTATTAATACACTTCTTAACTGTATTTCAGTTCAACAATTACTTTAGATACCTCTTAGGTCCATAAATTACCATATATAATATATTCAACACATACAGCAACGACAATTTGTTGTTGACAAAGGACAGGTGGACATATAAAGGGCCCCATTACCTTTAGTAGCCTAGGGCCTCATCATACATAAATCCATCCCTGCCCCATCCCCAGGCTTTCCCTACAAAAACCCATTCTTTAGAGCTCAACATCAATTCAGTTTTTCCACAGTTTGCCATTTGCTCAGGTTGAGCTTTAAAGAGCTGGTTTTCATGGAGAAAGCAGGGAAAGGCACTCAGACACTGAGCTTTAAATCACGAACCATGCCTGGAAAGAATCATAGAACGGAATCACAGAATTGTGGAGTTGCAGGGGACTCTGAGGGCCACCTAGGGTCAACTAGTGTGGATAAGCCCTCCATCTTGTCCCTTGTAGAACTCAGCAGGGAAGAAGACGGAGAGGATGTTACAAGCAGTTGGGACCTGGCTGCCATTGGCTCTGGCGCCACCTACTGTTTGGGTTTCATGCATTCCACCTCACCAGTCCCAGTGGGTGCCACTCACCACTGCTGCTGGTTAGGGTAAACACTTTTGAATTCCCAACAATAGAGAGGGCAAAACCAAGGGCAAAGGACACAAGTTTGCATTAGAGCTGTACGGATGTTACTAGCCCAAGAGAGGGAAAGAAGACAAAGTCCCTACCAGAGAGGAATGGCAAACTAAGCTGTTGGAGTACAGTGGTACCTCGGATTATAGACGCTTCAGGTTACAGATGCTTCAGGTTACAGACTCCGCTAACCCAGAAATAGTACCTCAGGTTAAGAACTTTGCTTCAGGATGAGAACAGAAATCGTGTGGCAGCAGTGGGAGGCCCCATTAGCTAAAGTGGTGCTTCAGGTTAAGAACAGTTTCAGGTTAAGAACGGACCTCCGGAACGAATTAGTCTTAACCTGAGGTACCACTGTATGCTGAAATGGCAGAAATAACCGGCAAGCTCAAGAACCAAGAAGACCAAAACTGTAATAAAGATTGGGGGAATTTATCATTTACCGTATTTTTCCATGTATTAGACGAGGTTTTTTGACTCAAAAATCATGTCAAAAAACTGAGGTCGTCCAATAAAAAGATAGTGGCATGGGGAGGGGGGGGGAGAAGCGGCGCACCCGCCAGCCATCCAGGTGGCAGGAGTGCAACTTCCCCCTGATGCCGCAGTGAGTGTTAAACAATCTAGGGAGTGTTTCCTGCCTATAGCTGGCGGGGGGCTCAACAACTTTGGGCCATCTCCCCTCATTTTCTTAAAATTTAGTCCCACCAAATGGGGGTGGGTTCTTATACATGGGGGCGTCATATAGACGGAAAAATACGGTACTTGGGAAACCACTGTAAGGAGATGAAAACTTTGGTAGGATTGCAATTAACACTTGTAATGTGGCAAATATAATGGATAAAATGGAGAGATATAAGATATGGATTACTGAATCATATGCAGTTGGAAAAGGTTGACAATAGGACCCATGGAGTGGAAGGTGGGAAGTCCAGAGATTCAGAGAAATCTCTAAATATGGATGTGTATTTTGTTTTGTGGTAATTCTATACTTGTAATAGAATGTAGAATGTAAAACCAAGTAAAAATTATTTCTAAAAAAGAAAAGAAAAGCTGTGCATGGGCATTTTTATCCACCCTTCGGTCCTAATCTGTGGCACCCTGATGGGCTTATTCATCCTGTGACACCCTGGCAGCTACCCACCCTCTCCTAGATCCATCCATGAAACCATCCGAGAGTGAGGCTAAGGGTTTTGAAAACTGAATTTTATGAAAGTTCAAATAGGATTTTTTAA